TGTATACTAGAGTCAAATCGGAGTGGGACAAAAAGACTCATCGTTTGTGGTGATAAAGCTCCATCATAAAAGGCTAGATGATGTCAACTTTTCGTACATATATCTGTTGTCTGTTGCAATGCATTTGTGCGAAGTCCTGCCACTTCGTCTCTCTAATTCCTCTCCACCTTTTGCACCAAAAAAACCCTCATCACTATCCTGCCCTTCTCCAAAACAACTGGTAAGTCGGAAGTTCAGTAAGTTGTTTGAAGTATGTGGAGGAGTTTATTTGCAACGAGAAGTTCTTCTGTTAATTTATTATAAGAAACTCCAATGGAAAATGGCAGAGAAAGAGAAGCAGATTTGAAAAGTCGGAGTCAGAATAGCTAATTGAAAGCCACCGCTGCACTTCCTTTCATAGAGATCCTTTCAATCTTGAGAAGGTAAAACATCACTTTCCGTATGGAGCTGCACAACGGATTGGATTCATTCGGAATCGATAAGAGCCAACGGTGATGTCTAGTACGAGGCCAATCCTAGTAATACTTCTGCAATAATGCGGCAATTATCACTTCGAGTGAAGACACCGTTCGTTCGATGGCTGAAAAACAAATCTCACGCAATATAGGAAGAAAGTCCTAAATAACGACACTAGACTGGAGTAGCTCCTATTCATCGCTGATTGGTCGTAAGAAGGTCTAGTTTGAGGGGATTGCGATCTGCTTCTCAAATAGCGGAGAGCTTTGATAAAACGCTGGATTAGTTGCAATAGGGTTCGATGCCACAAACGGAGCTTGCAAGTGCCTTGGCCACCCTAGAATTCGCTAGAGAGGAGTAGAGCTTGAGATCGGGTCCAAATGTATTTTGCTCGTTTATCTAATAGTCCATAGCAGAATAACATTGCGGAAACATCTACAGAAGTAGGGACTGGCAATGATCTTGCGGGATAGCAAGCAGAGACAACCTCTTATTCCGTTGAGGTATAACTGGCCGAACGACTTTCCAAATTTTCAAAAGATGAAAGCGACAACAAAAAGTTTCTACGTTAGCTTTTTCTGAATGTGAGCACCCATGTCCAGCCCGTCATCTCTTCATAGATAACCTTCACGCATTCTATCCGCTGGAGCATCAGTGGATGCAGCCACGGTTTGGCCCAAAAGGTTCAACAGATCTTCCGCAAGCTAGAGGTCCTCCTTCACAGAACAATTGGAACCCTTTTTCGAATATGAATCTCTACCAGTCAACCAAGAGGAGGCTGCTCAGTCCAAGGACATTGGGCAGTTGCAACAGAGATTGCATAACATCGGTATGTTCCTTCGTCGCCTGTTTTGAAGGGACTTCTATAAGGTGATGCAGTATTGTTGAAGGAGGACACCGCCATCTTGTAGTGATTGACGAATACCGGATGGAAGGAGAAAGACGTAGGAGTCGAAAAAAACTGATCTGAATTTTCAATTCCGAGAACTAAGCAGAGGCAATGGTGAACGCTCAATTAAATAAGAAGGATAT